GACTACAAGATTGCCCTGGGCTGAAGGTGGCACTAAACTGCTGAGCCACCCAGGCTGCACATTTTTGTTTCTTTCTTCTTTCTTTCTCTTTCTTTCTTTCTTTTTTTTTTTTTAAGATTACTTATTTATTTATTCATGAGAAACAGAGAGAGAGAAAGAGAGGCAGAGACACAAGCAGGCTCCATGCAGGGAGCCCGACGCGAGACTCAATCCCAGGTCTCCAGGATCAGGCTCTGGGCCGAAGGCAGTGCTAAACCGCTGAGCCACCCGAGCTGGCCACATTTGCTTCTTAATTGCATAACAAGTCACCCCAAAATTTAGTTGCTTAAACAACCATCATTTTATTTCCTCTTGATTCTGTAATTTGGGCTGGGCTCAGCCGGGCAGTTCTTTGGCTGGTCTTGGTGGTGGGCACTTGTGTGGCTACATTCACTTGGCAGATCACCTGAAGACTGGACTTGACTTGGAGGCTGGAATGACATGTGGTCAACATGTGGTCCCTCTATGTGGGCTTTCCAGTAGGGTTGCTGAACTTCTTAGGTAGCATCTCAGGGCTCCCCAAAATGCAGAAACCACAAACTGAAAGGTTTTATCAAGGTTTATGCCTGGAACTGGCAGAGTGTTACTTTTTCCACATCTTGTTGGTTAAAGCTAATCACAAAACCACCCCCCATTCACAAGGAGGGGACTGTGCACAGATGAATAGTGGGAGACCAATAAACTAGGTCCACTACTGTCATAGACTACCACAGTGTCCTTAAATTGTTCTCCCCATGAGAGTTTAGGAGTAGCCAACTCTTATATTTTGTCTGAAAATGTCTTTAAATTGCCCTTACTCAAATGAATGAAAGTAGAGCTGGGTATAGAATTCTGGGCTCATAGTTATTTACCTTTTACATTTGAAAGATATCATTCCATTGTCTCCTGGATCCTACTGTTACATCAAGTCTGCAGGAAGCCCAATTGTTAATCTTTTGAGAGTAATATGTTTCAGTGTAAGATTTTTAATGTGGAAAGGGGGGCTTTTTTTTATTTTTTTTAATTTTTATTTTTTTTATTTTTTTTGAAAGGGGGGCTTTGTATATAGAAGAGTTATTTATAGTTACTTATGATTTAAATTAATATCACAGATTGAATATTATAAATGAAAATTTATTCCTTAAGCCCTTAATTTTTAAATACAGTTTCACTGTAATTGCAGGGCTGTTGGTTTTCAAGGATTCTGTACAGGTGTGGGGAAAGAGACATGAAAACTGGGCAAATTAAAATGCCACAAAGTTTGCTTTCACTTCTGAGATTAAACCATTTTTCTTGAATAAATGTCCCTTGGATAGTTGTAAGCTTTTGGTTAATTTCCAGAGTTCTGAAAAAGTTGATTTTGATTATTTTTTTCCAAGTGTTCTCATCATTATTACAGAGGAGCACTTTTCACAGGTTCTTACTCCACTGTTCCTACTAATGTTCTATCCCTTTTAGTTTTCAGGTTAAAAATGTCTCCTCACAATCTCACTATTATCTTTGTGGCACAGACACTTCATTGAACAGGAGTCCTAAACGTTAATGTAAACAAGTTTATCGACTTTTCACCTATGGATTGTGCATTGGGTGTTTATGGAGAGTTTGTCTACCTTAAAGTCACAAAAACATTCTCCTATATTTTCTTCCTTGCATTTATAATGTTGTTGCTGTGGATTTTGATATAAATCTGCTTTTTCCTCCTTTGTAAGTAACCTACATTCTCTCTCTTTTTTAAAAATATTTTATTTATTTATTCATGATATACATAGAGAGAGAGAGAGAAAGAGAGAGAGGCAGAGACACAGGCAGGGGAGAAGCAGGCTCCATGCCGGGAGTCCCACGCAGAACTTGATCCCAGGACTCTAGGATCATGCCCTGGGCCAAAGGCAGGCGCTAAACCACTGAGCCACCCAGGGATCCCCACTACCTTCTCTTTTTGAAAGCATTTAAAGGGACACCTGGGTGGCTCAGCAGTTGAGCATCTGCCTTTGGCTCAGAGAAAATCCTGAGGTCCTGGAATCCCATTTCAGGCTTCCTGCATGGAACCTGCTTCTCTCTGCCTCTCTCTCTGTGTGTGTGTGTCTCTCATGAATAAATAAAATCTTAAAAAAAAAAAAGGCTTTATTAAGTTAAAAAAAAAAGCTAGCATTTAGAATTTTCTTTGCCCCAGATGACCTTAAATTTCTCTATAAAGTGTCTCGGATGTGAGTTTTCCCTTACATACCCTGCAAGATAGGGAGGAGAGTGAGGCAAGAGAGTGACTCAGGATGCAAAACAAGGAGGCATTCACTCCCTATGTAAATGCCTCCTTAAACTGTAAGCATATGAGTTTCACTTGTCTTATTCCTGGACCTGCCACCCTACGTGGTAATCTGTGAGCCCTTTCAATCTGAGGTCTTTGATCTTTGTCTAATTCTTGGATATTTATCATCATTCTTTCCTTTTCTTTTCCTTTTAAGTAGGCTCTACACCTAACATGAGGCTTGAACTCATGACCATGAGATCAAAAGTCATGTGCTCCACCAAATGAGCCACTCAGGCACCCCATCACTATTTCTTCAGCTATTTTCTTCCCTCTGTTTCTTTATCTAGGTCTCCTAAATTCTACCATCCATGTCTTTTAGCTTTTCTATTATATTTTAATTTCTTTATCCTTTATTGCTGCCTTTTGGGAGTTTCTCAGTCTGCCTCATTCATGAATCTTTTTGTTTATCTCATCTTTTTCAATTCAGCTATTATATTTTGTTTGATTTCTGACATTTATGTGATTCTTTTTTAATGGCCTCTTCTTGCTTCATATTAAAAATGCCTTCTGTGTCTTTCAGGGTATTATGCTTACGTTAAATTCTTGGAGTACCAGTTCTGATTATTCTACTTCACATAGTATATGTTTTAAATTTTGTTGTCTTTCTTTACAATGTCTTTCTTAACAGTATCTTAGGTTATGTTCCCCAAGAGGAATCAACAGGCCTGTGGGGGGAAAATGTAAGGACGAGGGTCTGGCTTTTGTGCCTCTCAGTCAATTTAAAGGAAAGAAAATGAGGGTCAGACTGGAGAGTGTCAGACCCCATAAAACTGACCTTGACCATTTCCATCTGCTGTCACTGTCCTAGGCCAGTCCTCTAGTCAGAACACCATCCCTCCTCTCCACTTTAAACTCTTAAAAAGAGGCATCATAAGAAAAGACAATCTCTTGATATTTTCAATCTACCAGCACTAATGGTTGCTGGGGGAATGGTAGCAGAGCAAATGCCCAAGGGGGCAGCATGCACCCATTTTCACCAGTTCCCTACTCTAGAGGGACTTCTGTGCTGTTTGAAAGTTACTAAGTTAACAACAGATGGCTAGCCAGTTGCTGCCAGTTTCTTGCCCCTGAGGCAAGCAATAATCTTCCCAAGGCAATGTGTGGGCAGAGGCTGTCAGGAGGAGATTTAAAACCTCTCCCCCACCTATTCTCTCTTGGCCGTATCTGACCCTCCTACCCTCCAGCCCACACTGACACTAACCCTTCACACCAGTCCACTAAAGTCTTTGGGTTTCTCACAGTCGATAGTTCCTCAGATTCATGCCTCTTCTCACTTCTACAGTTTTCCCTTTCATTAGGATACAAAAGAACTGGCCCCTTGCCTAGTTTTAAAGACCCTCTCTAATTTGATCCCAGCATCTTTCAATTCTCAAAGCAAATCATTATCCCCATTTTAGAGAGGAGGAAATTGAATCTCAATGAAATTAAGTGATTTGTCCAAAGTCACACCACTAGGAAATGTGGTAGAGCTAGAATTTGAAAAACATGTCTATCTTATCCCAAAGCGCATGCTTCTGTTACTCCATTAATTCCCTCTGATTAATGACCGAATTTAGAGCTGTTTGATTTTATTCAAGAATCTATCAAACCATGTTTCTAAAAACACTAATGTTCTGTGAGCTGGACAATGGCATTCACCCAAAACCCAGTTAGTCTTTTCTCAAATGGTAGAAAAAATATGTATAAGTTATGGTTAGATTTTTCTCAATGTCAGTTGCCCATTCATTTTTAGTAAATCTTTGGCACCTGCTGTTCTTTTGTGCATTAGCAAATCCTTAAAAAAGGTAATCATTACATAGAAAATGCATTTTGAGTAAATGATCTCAATTAGAATTCAAAAATATGTTATCAGTTAGGGAGAATATATAAGGAGAAATATGTTAGTAAATACGTACTTATTAAGTGTTCATGAATTCAATTCAATATTCAGACATTGATATAAACTAATTTTACCAGCAGGAATGATGAGTCTTTAAGTATTTGTATATTACATGATATGAAATGGCAATCTTTTTTTCCCTGATAGCAGGGGAAAAATGCTGACATAACCTTGCAAGTTAAAAGTAAAAATAAAGTGAGTTTTAAAAGTCATTAAAAATGTGAAACAGAGAAGAACCAATAGAATGAATCCCTATATACTCATCACCTAGCTTGAAAGATTATTTAAAAGTGATTTTTTAAAGGGTTTAATAGTCTTGCAAATTTTCAGAATGTCTGTAAATGAGAACTGAAAAGAATCACATGTTCAACTACAACTACAGCAGCCCTGGAGTCTTCCAGTTCATTCTATTAGTGCCATTTGGGAGCACCTTATGCATAAATTTGTCACAACCTTTCTAGTAGTGAATAATAGGTTGACAAATGAATTATACTTATATCTTTCCTAAGATTTTGGTTGGTATCTATGCAAGAGACCTATCTAACATACTTTTGAAGCCATTGTTGCACATTAATATTAGTTTTAGAAATTACTAGTTATTTCCATATATGGGGCTAGTTCAATTGTTTTCCTTTGGTTCCTTTCATGGAGAAAGGATGATGTATCCATTATATTTACCCATACTTTTAAAAATTTAGTTTTATTAGAATTTTTGATAAAGCATGATTCTGAATATTGATTACATTTTCATATACAAATCTAATTTTTGCCCTGACTTCACAAAATCTTTTTCCTCAGTTCCACTTGCCTCTCCTGATGTATCAGCAGAACTTCAAAAGAATTTTATAGAACACATCTCTTTTTTACATCAATATGATGCTAGGAAAATTCCCAATGAGCCCATCCGGGGAAAGGTGAGAGTCTTCAGAATCAATTATTTAATACTTTAGGCTGGGACAGATTTATGGTAGTACATTAAGCCTTTCCAGGTCATAGCCATCTTTCTAGAGGTCTATTTCAACAAACTAACATGGTTGTTAGGGGGATAAAGCCTCAACGACATAGGTAAAATTAAGGAATGATATCATAATTTTGGATCAAGTCTTTGGAGTTTGGTTTCAATTATTACAATCATTCACTTAAGGTAATATCAAAGCAGTTTTATAAACTGTTGAATATGCTCATGTGGGTGTGGCAGGGAAATGCATCTAAGATTTACAAAGCCAAACATAAATCTAATAGTTGCTGGATTTTTTTTTTTCCCAACTGCAAATGTCTGTTTTCACATTTTTCACTTTAATTCTTTCATTGAAACTAATTGACAAAATAAAAAATAAAAATAAATAAAAAAAGAAACTAATTGACATTTGGGATACAATCACAAATCCTTAGGTCTGTGAACTGTAGTTGCTATTGTATCCATGGCAACCTATAGAGTAAGAAATGAAATTTGATAAGAATAGTCTTATACATCCCAGCTGATTGATAGAAATGTTGAGAATGAGAGATAAGATGCTGCTTTTTTGATTTTCTGCTTTTCTCTCTTCGTTTATTTTCTGGCACACCCTATTTTATCATTGATTTAAAAGTTTCACTAATAATTATTATGCTGCTGTCTTCAGTTTTAGACTAAGGTGACAGTCAGTGATGTGGCAGAGAAATAAGTGCCTGCCTCGCCAGAACTTGAACTAACACATGAACTGAGTTCACAGCTGCATCTTCCAGCAACTAGTGTGCCCTGGTTAATGTCAACTTTGTTTTTTTCCTTTCCAGCGACACGGAGCTTTTGTGCAGGCAGAGATAAAACCAGGGAGTAGGCCAATAGTTCCTAAGGGAACAGAGGTATTACGGAATGCTCCGGGGTCATGCTCATCAGAACAGTCCAAAAAAACAGAGAAAGGAAACTCAGCGGAAAGCAAAATGATCTCACCAGGTCTCTGCCGACAAAATTCCCCAGAGCTGCTAGAGACTGAAACTCACTTATCAGAAACAGACGTCAGAGAGGCAGCCAAGGCATGCCCCAGAAGTCCTGAGAGAAGGGAGAAGGTTGCAGACATCTTCCAAATAACTGCAGTAAATGCTCTTCTCCCCAGGCATGATCGTTTAAATCCACCAATAAAAAGTCAGGATAAATCAGGATAAATTACCTTCTTCAAGACAAAAATCTAATCCTTGGAATGGAGAGAAATTTCAGAATCATACAAACCCTCACAGGTTGCTTTCTCTTATATCAATAACCTCAAAAATTCTATTTACATAAATGGGAAAATGAAAAAAGACAATTAAAAGGCACCAAAAATTTAAGAGTGGTCTCTAATGAGTGGTGGATTATGAGACGTATTTTTTTTTTAAGATTTTATTTATTTATTCATGAGAGACACACACACACACACCCAGAGAGGCACAGACACAGGCAGAGGGAGAAGCAGGCTCCATGCAGGGAGCCCAATGTGGAACTCCATCCCGGGTCTCCAGGATCAGGCCCTGGGCTGAAGGCGACGCTAAACCACTGAGCCACCCGGGCTGCCCGAGACATATTTCTATATTATTTATAAACAAAACAATTTTGTTTTGCACAAAAATGAACATAATTAACAAATATAAAACTTTTAGAGGAGAGGTCCTATGAGAGTCATTCTCTGGAATCAAAGAAGGGTTGGAATTTTGGCTCTACCACATATGAGCCGTGTGACCTTGGGTAAAGTACTTAACCTCTCTATATTTCAGTTTCCTCATCTCTAAAATCAGGATAATAGCAACTTCCCAAGGTTAGTGAGCAGGAGGTCATGTACATTGATCAGTATGTAACCAATGTAATTACATTATCACTATTACTATAATGAAAGTTTCGAGTAAAGGATAATGTTCTCTTATAACCTTAAATTTTCTCCTTATTCTAAAACTTTAGTCCCTCTGTATACAATTAAGAGTGTGGGGGATCCCTGGGTGGCGCAGCGGTTTGGCACCTGCCTTTGGCCCAGGGCGCGATCCTGGAAACCCAGGATCGAGTTGCACGTCGGGCTCCTGGTACATGGAGCCTGCTTCTCCCTCTGCCTATGTCTCTGCCTCTCTCTCTCTCTGTGTGTGTAACTGTCATTAAAAAAAAAAAAAAAAGAGTGTGAAAAGTCTGAAAGCATTTCTTGTGGTAGTTACACAAATGTGTGCGTGAGCAGACATACACACACTTAATTCAAGAACATATGGGTACCTAGAATATAAAAATATTTCCTAAGTTGTTTTCTATTTTACTTAGATCACTTCTAGCACTAACTCAATCTTTGCTTTTTGGATGAGTTTGGTGTGCTTAATTCTATCAGCCATTCTATTTGGCACATTTGGTGTGCCAAAATGTATCTATCAGAAGCTATGTTCTGTTGTACACAAGTGGAAGTAGGTGGAATATCTCTCTGCTGCCAAAAGAGTATTTATATGCTCAGCAAATTTCCATGGCAATATATCAGTTGCACACTATTATCTGTAGTGTTGATAAGACAATAGGTGTATCTTTATTGCTTTCTTTTCCACTAAAGAAATTTTAATAGATTGCAAATGAATGTATGCCATTATTATATATTTGTGTATCGAGGACTTTCAGTTCTTACAACACACCATATTAAGCAACTAGCAAACCCCTTTCATTACAAACACCTCGAAATGCTGAATAAAATGAACTAACCAATAAACAAATATATAGCCAAGCTCACAAGACAGAGAAACCCTCATGTTCCAAAACAGAGAACTTGCTTATTTGTGTGTCAATATATATTTTAAAGATCTTTTGTCAACACAAGTAGATTACTTCATTATTTTCAGAGCTGCATAGTCTTTCAGAGTATAGATATACAACAGAACTGGAGCAAAAAAGAATGCAAGCTTCAGTGTATGTGTGGGAAAGGCGGTGGGGTGTGTGTGTGTGTGTGCATTTGATAGCAAATGTGGAGAGACGTCTGAAAAGCTAAAGATTTGAATTTTAATCCATAACAGAACAGAGATGGAACTTTACGGCTTCCAAAGTAGAGTTGAGATTAAAACCTGTATAAAGCTAGAACCCTCTATTTACCCCCAAAACACAGATGTAGTGAAACAACAGGACACCTGCACCCCGATGTTCATAGCAGCAATGTCCACAGTAGCCAAACTGTGGAAAGAGCCGAGATGTCCTTAGACAGATGAATAGATAAAGACATGATACACACACACACACACACACACCACACACACAATGGAATATTACATCAGGAAGGGTAAATACCTACCACTTATATTGACATGGATGGGACTGTAGGGTATTATGCTGAGTGAAATAAGGCAGTTGGAGAAAGACAATTACCATATGGTCTCACTCATATGCGGAAAATAAGAAATAGTCAAATGGACCACAAGGGAAGGGGAGACACTGAGTGGGGAAAAATTAGGAAGACAAACCATGAGAGACTCTTGAATCTGGGAAACAAATGGAGGGTTGAAGAAGGGGAGATAAGTAGGGGGTTGGGGTAACTGAGTGACGGGCATTAAGAAGGGCATGTGATGCAATAAACCCTGGGTGTTATACTAGATGATGGCAAATTGAATTTAAATCTTAAAAAAAGCTAGAACCCTCAAAGAGCTGGCCTATCAGTACACGGCGGACTAGAAGAACTTCGCTTGTATAACCAGGTAGACAGCAAGCAAGTTTGCCTCTTCCTACAGCTATACATAGCAGTTAAAATCTTTGTCAAGAAGTAAAACCTCAAGCTTGTGCCACATTCCAGTTTGGAATGTGAATTTACATACAGAATGTCTCATAGGACACAAAATTCACACAAAAATTAGTCCTGCTGGTGAGATCACTGAGGTGCCTGACTAAAGCAGATACAAACCCCGCGGAAGGAGATTTCCACAATCCACAAAGAAACAGTCCCTGCTAAAGGTAAGGTCACAAACAAAAATTACAAATCACAAAAAAAGAAAACCAAACTGAGTGAGAGTCAGCAGTATAACAAAGCGAATGGTTAAGCCTCAAAACTAGAGGTCATAGAATGAAAACACTATTTGAGGGTACTTGTCTTTCACTCTGGAAAATTTTACTCTGTAGCCTTTATTATTTCCATTCCCTCCATTCTCTCTCTTGCCTCCTGGAACAGCTACCAGCTGAATGATGGAACACTCGGCTTTATCTTCTATGTGCTCTAACTTTTCTCTCATTGTGGTACTTTACCACTAAGTAATGCAAGAATCCCTTGACGTTAATTTTCCACTAACTAATTTGCTTTTCAACCATGTCAATTGTTATACCAGGCCGTCTATTGAAAACAATTTTTAATTGGTATTTTATTTTTAATTTATAAGATCTATAAATGCTTCCTTAAGACATAAAACTCTCTCCCGGGGCACCTGGGTGACTCAGTAGTTGAGTTGCCTTTGGCTTAGGTCGTGATCCTGGGGTCCTGGGATGGAGTCCCCCATCAGGCTCCCTGCTCAGCTGGGGGCGTGTTTCTCCCTATACCTGTGTCTCTGCCTCTGTGTCTCTCATGAATGAATGAATAAATAAATACTTTTTAGAAATACATAAGACTCTTCCTATATTTTGGATATAATAGCTCTTCTTATCACTGTTAGAATATTGTAATGAAGCTTAACATCTTAACATCTTTTTCTGCTCTCTTAATTCTGTTAGTTTTTGTTTGTTGAGCATGATGCCTCACCTTATTGGTATTGTACTTTTTTTTTTTCCTCAAATGTTTGGTGACTCTTTCTCATGTTTGTATACTCTTCTCCAATTATATGGTTTTCAGATCCCTATCTGTGTAAACTGTTTCTGTCTGCTGCACCTGACTTTGGGACAGGGTTGGGATATGAGTCAGACAGGATCAGAAGATTTGTGTAATGGGATTTATGACCCTCCTAGAGGTCAGTAGTTGCTTGAGCACTGGCCTGCTTTTCTGGGCCTCGTGTATGAGTCACTTCATCCACAGCTGCCAGTGCCTAGCGCATGCAGAACACGGAGAGGTTACTGATTTGCTGCTCCACATGCAATTCTCTCATTTTCCAAGTTGATAAATGCCCCAAGGCCCCTTCCATATCTTAATATCCTTTAGCTTTAAGCTCGTAGTTCTATCCCCTCCTCCCTCTACAGCAGTCATCTCCACATGTTGGGTTTTTTCCTCACTTTTTTTTTTTTAAGATTTTATCTATTCTAGAGAAAGTATACAAGTGGAGGGAGGAACAGATGGAGAAGGAAAATGAGAGAACCCCAAGCAGACTCCATTCTGAGCACAGAGCCCCACGAGAGGCTTGATCCCATGACACCCTGAGATCACAACTAGAGACTAGGAGTCAGAAGCTCAACCGACTGAGTCACACAGGGTGCCTCTGGATCTGTCTTCTTCCTTTCTTCCTTCCTTCCTTTCTTTCTTTTCCTTCCTTCCTTCCTTCCTTCCTTCCTTCCTTCCTTCCTTCCTTCCTTCCCTCCTTCCTCTCTTCCTTCCTTCTTTTCTTTTTAAGATTTTATTTATTTGAGGGGAAGAGCAAAAGCAGGAGAGAGGAAGAAGCAGGCCCCCCACCCAGTAAGGAGCCTGGGGTCCCAGGACCCCAGGATCATGACCCAAGCTGAAGGCAGATACCCAACCAACTGAGCCACCCAGGCACCCCTGGGTTTTGCTTTCATTTAATTTTGTTCCTCCAAACATTTGTCCTCTGGTAATATCTTTCAAACTTAATAAAAATCTATTTCTTCTGATAGTAGGTTTCCCTGGTTTCCAATGCTATTAAATTATATTTTATCATCAATATCTATTTACATGTATTTTTGTGAGATTTAGTGGTAGATGTGTATGATCAGTCTGCCATCTTGAATCATTCTCTGATCTTCTTTTAAGTAAATCATTTGCAAACTTAGTACTTTGGCCATTAGTAAATCATGAATTTTCAGCAATAGACCTCACAATTGACTAGTAAACATTATTGAGGATTGTAATAGTCCTTCTGTCTTAGGGAATGTGCTTTAGTGAGAGATGGAGGGTCTGGGTCAAATAGGCCAGTTCGGGGACTATTACCATAGGCTAGATTGGTGGTTCTCAACGTTTTCAAGTATTAAGGACATATTTTCTGCATTTTAAAAAAGTTTATGGTTCCTTACAAAATAGTAATTGAACTTTTAGTAGCCATTGTTTGAGAAAACACATAATAACAAAATGCAATGATGATTTCCAGGTTTAATGCCCTGTTTTTTAACTGCTAAGGGTGTGTCTGTCCACAATGAATTCCATAGTCTATTAAAGTTATAACTGCCTATTGGTACAAA